TTGATGATCGCACCATCACTGTTACACGAGGAATTGCCGTTCGGGAGGAGGGAGCTCCTACCATTCAACTCACTGTTCCCAATGCCTATAACAAGCAATGCCCAATTGCTTTGTATTTTTTTTTTTTTTTTTTTTTTTTGTGGATGGTGACAGGCGCGAAGTCTTTGAAGGATCAAAGGTTGACGAGGTGATTGTGAGACCTGTTGGAAAAATGGTGGTCATCTACTATCCCAAGACACGTGTCCAACTTGTGGTGAGACTGAGTTCCTCAACCAAGTATGGATGCTACTTCTCTACCAAGGTATGTTTGCCGGATGACTACCGTAGAGACGAAAAGCTGATTGGTCTTCTCGGATCTCCCGATGGCGATTACTACAATGACTGGATGAACACCGAAGGAACCGGGCTTCGTGTCCCAGGATATGGCTTATCCGAAAAGTCATACCACTACTGTACAACATACTGGTGCGTCAAGGAAAAGAGCAGTTCTCTGTTCTGGTACGAGCCTGGAGAGGATTTTAAAATGTTCAACAAGTGTGGCGACAACTACGATGGCAGAATTGAGAGTTGTGTCAAGACCCCGCCAGAGTGGCTCAAGAAAATATGTTACCTAACTGACAAGAGATGCTTGTTTGAGGGGTGCGCTGGCGGACCAGAAGAAGCGAAGAATGCCTTGGATGCCGAATACGATCTCACCAATGAAAAGGGTTGCGGAGAGACAGTTCTTGCAGAAGATTTCAACGAGAATGATGTTCGCAAATGGAAGTTGATCGAGACAGAACCCGTATCAGGCCAGACATTCTTGGGCAGATTCCACAAGTTCAGCAAAAAAGTCTACCAACAATTCAGCATCCCCGATTTCACCGACTTTGTCACGATGGAATTCTTGCTCTACGAGATTGATGATTGGGGTGCCCGGAACAGAGAAGCAAACAAGTTCTACGTCAGTTTCGGACTCAAACATCAATCTTTGAAGTATGAGTTCTCTCTGGGTACATTCGAAGATCAAGATGACATGTTCCATCCAGGAAACTCCAAGGTTGGTTACAAGAGCGGCATCAGATGGAAGAGACAGGCAATCACCTGTGCGACCAACTTGGGCTACAACGCGGAGCACAAGGATCAAATCCACAAGGTGACAATCAATATTCCCAAGTATCACTTCCCACGAGGAAAGCTTGGGGTTACTTTCTATGTTGCAATGGAGGAAGACAAGTCTCAACTGAGTGCTGGTGTTGACGAGTTGAGGATCATCGCCCAACCCAGGAAATGTGGCGAGACGAAGCGAAAGGACTGCCGCAGCGATGGACAGCAAATTGCTGCCAAGAAATTTTCCGAGTCACAGAAAGAAGAAGAAGAAGAAGCAGAGGACCACAACACAAGAAGAAGAAACAAGAAGAAGAAGGGACGCAGGAGCTTGGGCGATGCCGCTGATGACTACTTGGGTGACATTGATGAGAACTCGGCAGTTAATGCTGGTGTTGACGATGCCAGTGCTCCCGTCGAATGCCGCGTCGCCTTTGGCTACCACAGCCCCAAGAGTTCCGGCAGCTTCCAGGATATTCTTGGAATGACGAGTGGATTAACTTACAGGAATGAAGATATTAGCTGGGGATGGTCGAATGGTCCTCTGGAGGCGTCGAACTATGCCTACTCCATGGATCTTTACACGACAGGCAAGGGATCAGCCGGCGAGCCTGGTCTCTTGGTAGGAAAGATGACTGTTGAGTTTGATGGCGAAGAGGCGACTGTATCCATGGAAGCAGGCGACCACATGTGGTTGAAGGAAACGAATGCCTACGTCGGTCATGGCGTTGCCCCCGAGTTGGAAGATGGCGTTCAAACCGTTGACCCAGAACAGTATCCGATCTCGTACGATCGCATGGCGATGAGTAGGAGCTTCACAGTCGGCGACTTGGAAGACAAACCGATTTATATCATTGCACAGGCAACTGTTTGCGGAGTATTCGAAGCAGACCCAACGCGTCCTTCTGGAGTCCGTGGTTCCAATGACGAAACCAAGGAGTCATCCTGGTTCACCGGGCTCTTTTAAGTTGTCGGTATTTGCTGATCGGGACTCCCTTCGTATTTAAAAAATATATGTATTAGATGAGATTGTTTTAACCAAACTATGCATACCCCGTAGACCGGTACTGTCTTTTGCTTCTGTTGCCGTTCGGTACCGTTACCCGAGGATATGGCTCCCTTGCAGCGGTGTTGGAGCCGCAACGAGTGAGACATCGGCGAAATGCTTGTTGTGTGCTCAGTCTACTGCGTATTGCAGCCGTTCAGACGCAACCTGATCTTCAGAAAGGGCAGACAGGGAATTGACGATGGCACTGCAAGGCAAAGGCAGGTTCCTCGCTGGAACAATCCTGTCCTCAGTTGCCCGCCCACCATCCCGACGGGCAGGAGCGACCAGCCAGCATGCTTTGAGGTTTCTGGCCTAAAGAAAACGAAATGGTAAGGATGAATATTGAGGTCGCTCGAATGCAGACAGACACTTGGTTGACTGTTCCTGCCTGTCTGGCGACGAAGTGGCTGAACCTGCATGCCCTTTGCGGTGCTGGGCTCTGCCAGTACAAGAAAACAGGTGTGTTGGTGTTGCCAGCGGCAAAAAACGGCCTTCAAGATCGAGTGACGAGTCAGAGTCGAGTCGCGAGTCGATTACGAAAGATCGAAAAGAGAAAACCAATGGCGATTTTCTTTTTTGCTGTTTTTTGATCTTCAATCCTCAATAACAAACTCCCTTCTACTTGTACTTACTGTACAGTACTAGTATTCTTTTCTCTGCCCTCTTTCTACACCATCCACTAATAACTAACTCCGCAATCATCAGCACTATGTACTGCTCCAATTAACGGCGTTCACACCGAGGGAGAGATGCCCCGTGTCATCGTCAAGACTATCAGCGCCACACTACATACTAGTATACTACAACCACCAACAGCAACCGCAACGACCACTTGTTTGACGATCCCGAAATGTCATTGGCCGAAATCGAACGACAGCGTCAACAATTGGCCCTCCATCAAAAACCCGACGGTTCCGTCTATTTGTTGGACGTCTACGAAACACCACAACAGTACGGTTATTGTTCTATACTGTTCAGTCTCGTCCAAACGCTGGTGCTTGTCATAATGATGTGGCAATGTGGGATTGCTCCTTTGACGGTCAATCCCATGGTGGGACCACCACCCGATGTTTTGGATTATTGGGGAGCCAAAAATACGCCCAAAATTGTAGAGGATGGAGAAGGATGGCGGTTGATGACCCCCATGTTGTTGCACGCGGGAATCTTTCATTGGATGGGCAATATCAGTGTCCAACTCGAAACAGGACTCCAATTCGAATGCGAATGGGGAAGTGGTGTGTGGTGTATTGTGTATTTGACCAGTACCGTAGGTTCGAGTATTTTAAGTGTGATTATGATGCCCCAATCCTTGTCGGTGGGATCGTCGGGGGCCGTCATGGGATTGTTTGGGGCCAAACTCAGTGAAATTTTGATTCGATCCTGTGAACCCAACAAGACGCTCCAACAAAAAGTGGGACACGCTATGCGAAAACATCAATTCATCTTGGCGGGAGGGGGATGTATTTTGGTCATGGTATTTTCCTTTATTCCTTTGTGGATTGGGCGGCCCATTTGGGGGGAATGGTGACGGGAATGACGGTGGGATTGATGGTATTTGCGTGTCACTGTCGATCGCATGTTGGAAAACTGGTGTGGTTTGTGCTGGGTTTGGGATTGACAGTGGTAGGCTTTGCCGTATCTCTGGATTACATGTACAACAGTGGCAATTTGGAGATAGTAGAAGAACTACGAGATGTCTGTGGCTATTACCAACAATTTGATGAAGATTATGAATGCACCTGTACTCTGACCAACAATCAAGATGATGGGGGTTCGGGTGACTAGCTCTGCGCATTGGTTGGGGTACCGTACAACAAAAGTGGTGCACGAGGAATCCATTCGGTCGAATTTTTGAATACCGGTACGTACGTCTGCTAAAGGAACTTGCGATGGATATTACATTTCCGTCGCATTCCATTATCGATCCCGACTGAGCTTAGATGGACGAACAAACCATTCCACTCAAGTTGTGTTTGTGCTTCCTCCAACACTCAGTGTTGAACCCAACGACTCCACTCTGTAAGTAAAAACTCTTTAGCTTCCCACTCCCACACTCCACACTGATTATAGCGAGCATCCCTCATAAGTGGTCTAACTTTCATCCTGCACAACTCTTTCTTTGTCATACATAGGATCTCCTCCCTCCACTGTCAATGCAAGCAGAGCAAGAACATCACACTACCACTCAGTGCTATGCCTCACTCCCCATCCAGTCATGGTCTCCACAATCCAAGTAATATCAGGTGTCATGGGCACTGCTTTTTCTTCCATTACAGTTTGAGTTGCTCCACCATGACACTGGGAAGATACTTTACCTTTAGACAAAAGTACTGACTGTACCTGTTTGCCCTGTCAGTTTCATCTACCAACAAAACATACATGAGTTCATAGCTCTGCCTGGTCTTCCGAATCTCATTATAAGGGTAGCGACTGTTAACATCTAGCCAGTGTTAAAATCAGGACTAGCAGTGTGCAACATGGTGATATGGTAGCATAGCTGTGGATCTAGTTGACTGTGTGTGGGGGAAGCCAATGAGTACCGAGACGAAAATGTGAGAGGCGACACCAAGAATGAGGCAGCCAACGTACAAGCACCTCCGCGAATAAGTCTTCTGAGCTTCCTGGTGACTGTACAAGACCCACGAGAGTTAGATGGTGAAAATTTGAATTTTACTGTCTGCTTTATAGTACAATTAGCAAAGTCTTGAGGGGAAGAAAAATCGTACACTACATGTACTTTTTACCAGGAAGGTCCCGTAAATAATGACTCCTAATTAATTCGATGAAGTTGGCCCTTTAAGTCTTCAAGTCTTTTAACGACACAAACTGGTTTTGGCGACCGTGATGACTCGTGATGAAAATCAGTCTCGTGAAGAATCCCGTGATGAATCCGGTGATGAATCGGTGATGAATGTGATGAATCGGTGATGAATGTGATGAATTGGTGATGAAAATGATGGACGGGTGATGAAAGGTGATGAAAGGCGACAACAACAGAAGATAGACCATCAGACGACACTAGTAACAACAATCAAAGAGCTAGAGAGCACTGGATGCCTACTACAGTGTCGTTATCTCGCTACAAGTAAGGGTCGAAGAGCATGTACGAGCCCTCGTTGATCGAGTATTGAATGACGCACAAGACGGCCTCAAACGCAATGCTGTGGTTTTCGACACCATGTCGGAAGATATCTCTGCAAACCTTGAAGCATTTGATGGACTCATTGAAACTCTCTTGGCGTGCAAGGACTCTATCTTTCCACTCAGCGATTTCCTCCGGATCGAATTCGTTTCTTGTGCTGATAATGTGCTTCGCACCACGATATCCTTTGTCTCCGACAATACGCTTCTCTGGAAGGATCGTTTCCATCTTCTCCATGAGTTTCATCTTAAAAGTTTTGATATCATTGTATGCACCGGGAGGAATTGGTCCTCTTACCCAGGCAACCTGCGGTTTATGGATGAGCAACATTATCTCGTAGCTCACTCCTGCATTGTCACCAAACTTGAAGCTTGACCAGTCTGTCGAGAAAGGACGGGGCTCTTCAATTGGACAATGCGTTCCATCAATGGAGAACAAAAAGATCAGCTCTTCATCTGAAAACTGTTCTAAGCTGGGAAGCTTGTCCCTGAACAGTAGCTTTACCTTATGAGCCCAAGCTTTGTAGATTTTGCTGATTGTTTTTTCACTTTTGATTCCGAAGCGCAGACATAGCTCTCGTTCAGTCTCATACTTCCACGTCCAGCGGATAGCAATGAGTAGATTGATTGGATGCTTTGCTTCCTCTGCTGAGAGCTTATAGTTTTCGTTTTCGGTCTCCAATAGATCTTTCCAAATTGCAGCAAAGGCAGCTGGCACTGCTCCGTAATATGCCTGAAAGCGCTCAATATTTCGTTCCTCTTTGTATGCATGCCAACGGGGGTATCCAGCAGCTTTCAGCCCTAGGGCCATGAACTGCTTGGCAGTGACTTCTGGCATGGCTGTTGTGTCGACAGCTAGCTATAGAATTCATGCGGTGGCGCCAAGCAATGCAACCCACGCCAAAAGATCGATCCACCCAAGAAAAGTGAGGAAGAGGTGCCGACCGGGCACTGAAACGTCCTCTATCTAAGTACAAATCATTTCGAGCCATTTTGTTCATATCTTCTTTAACCATATCTTAGGCTTCTATAAGCATGCCACTATTTAAATTTTTGCCATAAGCCAACGATACGGTTGGAATCACTCCAAAATCTTGGTTTGGATCCGTTCAAAGTTGTCGCATGAGAGCTCATTGATTCAAACAAGCAAGCTTCCATCATGAGGATCGATGAGACAGTCAAGGCCATACTTTTTCACGACATTGAGTCGAACCAGGACGCTAGTTGCGACGATCTCGTTCGCGACATTCGCCCTGAGCTCTACGCTGACTTGGTGTCTCCCATTCGCAATCGATTCCACTACCTGAAGCGTCTCAAGAAGAACAACCCATTGGAGTACATCGATCAAGCTGCAAAAGCTCGGAAGATCTACAAGAATATTCCAGACGGTCAGTGGACAAAGCAATTGCCCAAGGACGCGACAGAAGACGCAGCTATTACTGTCCCTGCACCCACGGAATCCAGCAGCAAGCAAGCTGAAGACCCTCCATACAGTCCCAGCAATTTGGAATCAACTTGGACATCCCCAAGAAGAGCGACGAGATCCTCTACGAAGAAAGCTGCTGTTACTCCAACAGACCCACCCCCAGCAGCTCCCATCCCAGTGACAAGCGCTTCCACACCCAGCATTGTTGAGCCAGAGCCAAGTGTCACACCAGGATTGCCACCACGACCACCCTCAAACAAGAAAAAGAACAAGATGACTGGCACCCCCAAGAAAAGCAATGCCACCAAGGCGACTACTACCCCTTCAAGGAAGATCCGTATCTTTGCGGATATCAACGAGGCCAAAGAGTCTGTTGATCACCCCATCGACGTCGACACTGACTTTCCGGAGAGCCATGGTCATGGCATCTTTGTGCTTGAAATCCCCGATGCGATTCAGTCCAACACTAGCTTTGGAACCTATGTCTCGGACGAGATCAAGTTTGTCCTTGAGCATTTGGTTGATATTACCGATTACAACAAGATCGACGCTCAACTTGTCTTGAATGTAAGTCGGTCTGTTGGCAGTTTGCTTCATGAATCCATGGATGCGAAAATGGCAACCATCAAGGAGCCTTTTGAAGAAGGCCTGCAAGTAGCTATGCTGTATAGATCTCCTACACAAGATAGCTCTTGCAAGCCTTCTTGAAAAGCCCCTTCATAGTTGCCATTTTGGTTGGACCAATCAATAAATTTTGCACAACCTGTCAACTCACCGATTCGTTTTCCGCTTGCTTGCTTGTAGGGCACTGCTTTGTTGATCAACAAACCGTCTGTTTCGAGTTTCTTCATCCACAAATACCTAAAGCTTCTCTCTCTTGAGGCCGAGCACTGCCAAAGGACGGAGGATGAGTTCAAGTTTTGGCTCACGGCTGTTACCCAAGACGAATCACGTCAAGTTCAGAGCTTGCTCTTTGTCTTCCCTGAAGGGACTGTTTGCACCACGGACTTTGCAAGTGCTGAGCCGTCTGCTCCCAAGTCTGATATGCCTGTTAAGCTTCTTCTTCGTGAGCTCGACACTGTGATTGACATTGAAGGCTCTCAGATTCAGCAGATCTTTTACCCTGGTTACTTTCGCTTGCGTGTTATCCCAGAGACCTCGAAGATGGCGGATGCAATCGAGGCCCCAGCCAAGTCTCTTGCGAGTGCCTTTGAAGGTATGATCAGGCCAAAGCACAAATGATTAGTTGTTTTGTTTCGGCTTCATGTAGGATTCAATTTAATGGTCTAATCACTTGTTGTCATTACAACTCTCGTCCTCTACTGTAGGGATGTGTCACATTACGAATCAAACTAGCCAGCCCAGCCCACGTCCTCAGCCGCCGATTCCTCAGCCACCGATTCCTCAGCTGTCGATTGGACTTCCACAAGCTGTTGTTTCCAACAGCTTGTCGATCATAGCTCCACCTCAAGTCGTTGCCTCCAACAGTCTGTCGATAGCTGCTGTACAAAGCAATGCGATGGTCGCAAGCAGTGGCCTCTGCTTGGCTGACAGGTTGGCCGCAGCTGCTGTTGCTCAGAAGGCGAAAAGCAAGAGCTTAACAGTCCGTGGACGATCTCTCTTTGGCCCGAGCGGACAACCACCAGCCCTGGTGCTACCCAAGGAAGAACCAAAGCCGAGAGGCCCCAGGACACTCAACCTTTCTGATCTTCCTACCTACCCCGCAGCTCCTGGTGGCAACAGCAATATGGAAGTCGATGACGTCTTCTCCACCCCAGCATCCACTCCCACGGTCTTGCCTCAGTTTCAAGCAAATTTGAACCACGATCCCAATGCTGCAGAGCAGAAGCGCATTTATGCTGACAGGAAGAAGGATGGCTTCAAACCAACTCTTGACAATGGTTTGCTGTCTGATGCTAGGATTGAACAAAGGAAGAGCAAGTCCTCCCTCAAGAGGCAGGTTGCTCTTGACAGGCGCAGGAAGAAAGCAGAGCTCCAGGCTAGATTGGCTGAGGCCAGGATTGCTCAGGAGCAGCAAGAGCAGGAGCAGCAGGATCTCACCAGTGCGAGCAGCTCGGAAGATAGTCTGGGAACTATCGCAACGACGGATACCCTGTCTCATATTACTCAAATTGAAGGAGATTTGAAGACGGAAGTTGAAGACGGTTTTAAAAAGATCTATACTGGAGACTACAACTAATGTGAAAGACAAAGGCAACGACGATTGGAGAATAGTATCACGTAGAGATTAAACAACTAGTAGTGGTGACTTAGGATAATCTTATGCCTCTGGTCGGTCGACCCTATTAAGAAGGTGGTGGGCCTCTTCAACAACTCTATCGGCACGGCTTCTTCGAGCTCTTTTCTTTTGTGTCTTCTTTCGAGGACGGTCTTTCTTTGCTTGTTTGTCGGCTTCTTGGTAGAGATGATTGCGAAAGACCTTCAGGGAGAATTCCCGGAACTTGCAGTCTGATTGGTAGATTGCTTTTGGTTTTATTTTCTGTTCTGTTTCAGGATCAATTTCCAAATGTTTTCCTTCTTTGACAAGCTTTTCCAGAAGCTCTTTGCAGGGAGATCTATGCCAGGGTCGTTTCTCTGGCATGTCGGTCCGAGTGGCCAAAATGATGGCAATGTCATGGCCGTAAGCTTCAGCATCCACCTCAAAGCGCTCAAATTCGTTGATGATTTGCTCAAGCAGACTTTCCAAATTTGTTTTGAATTGGTTGAGAGGAAAGATTGTATAATCGTCATGTCTCTGGTGCACTTCCGCTGGGTCAGACATCTCGTGGACGCTTCCAGCAATGATCTCTTGCTTCAGTCGCTCTCTGCCAGCGCTACCAGTCCATTTGATTTTGCCCTTCTTCGCCGGATCATTGCAAGATTGATTAGATTCTCCGTATTTCTTTTGAACTGTTTCCAATCCCATTTCTTGTATTCATCGTGGCTCTGGTGGATCACACTCAGGTCTGTTTCCTTGGTGATTCGATCACAGAGGATCTCGATTCGAAGCATCTGTTTGGCTGTGCTGCTCCGCCATGTCTCCTTTGGCTGAGCTCCTGGCATTGCTCCGACGTGTCTAATAGACTGTTGCTGTTGTTGTTGAGTGCTAGATAGCAGGGGAAAGCGGTGTAGTCAACTCGTATTGACTCGTGATGACTCGTGATGAATGTGATGAACCAGTGATGAATGTGATGAATTGGTGATG